AGTAACGGTTATCATGTAAGAGTAACGGTTATCATGTTACAGTAACGGTTATCATGTAACAGTAACGCTTATCATGTAACAGTAACGGTTATCATGTAACAGTTACGGTTATCATGTAAGAGTAACGGTTATCATGTTACAGTAACGGTTATCATGTAACAGTAACGCTTATCATGTAACAGTATCGGTTATCATGTTACAGTAATGGTTATCATGTTACAGAAACGGTTATCATGTTACAGTATCGGTTATCATGTTACAGTACCGGTTATCATGTAACAGTACCGGCTATCATGTTACAGTAACGGATGCTGAGTAATATCACTATTTATCAGAAATGTTACAGTAACGGTTATCGGGTTACAGTAACGGTTATCAAGTTACAGTAACGGTTATCAAGTTACAGTAACGGTTATCATGTTAGAGGAACGGTTATCATGTTACAGTAACGGTTCTCATGTTACAGTAACGGTTACCATGTTACAGTAACGGTTACCATGTTACAGTAACGGTTATAATGTTACAGTAACGGTTATCGTGTAACAGTAACGGTTATCATCTAACAGTAACGGTTATCATGAAACAGTTACGGTTATCATGTAGGAGTAACGGTTATCATGTTACAGTAATGGTTATCATGTTACAGTAATGGTTATCATGTTACAGTAACGGATATCATGTTACAGTAACGGATGCTGAGTAATATCACTATTTATCAGAAATGTTACAGTAACGGTTATCGGGTTACAGTAACGGTTATCATCTTACAGTAACGGTTATCATCTAACAGTAACGGTTATCATGAAACAGTTACGGTTATCATGTAAGAGTAACGGGTATCATGTTACAGTAACGGGTCTCATGTTACAGTAACGTTTATCATGTTACAGTAACGGGTATCAGGTAACAGTAACGGTTATCATCTAACAGTAACGGTTATCATGAAACAGTTACGGTTATCATGTAAGAGCAACGGTTATCATGTTACAGCAACGGTTATCATGTAACAGCAACGGTTATCATGTAACAGTACCGGCTATCATGTTACAGTAACGGCTATCATGTAACAGTAACGGGTATCATGTTACAGTAACGGTCATCATGTTACAGTAACGGTCATCATGTTACAGTAACGGTTGTCATGTTACAGTAACGGTTGTCATGTTACAGTAACGGTTCTCATGTTACAGTAACGGTTACCATGTTACAGTAACGGTTACCATGTAACAGTAACGGTTATCATCTAACAGTAACGGTTATCATGAAACAGTTACGGTTATCATGTAAGAGCAACGGTTATCATGTTACAGTAACGGTTATCATGTTACAGTAACGGATGCTGAGGAATATCACTATTTATCAGAAATATACTAACCGACCCTGTTTTGAGCTACTAAATAGCACATTTCACTACCAGACAAAGCAGTGTCACAGCAGCGTGAAATAACTGTTATAGATACAGGAGAACTTATTATACTGCACTGTGATATCTATATATAATAGTAGGCACGTCGATTAAGTACTAAGCTGAAAGGCCAACATACAAAAAGCATACCTACATGCGTGTAAGAGCTAACAGTGTTGGGTGGCAGGCTTTACTCGAAACCTAGTTGTTTGGCTGGGGACATGGTATATCTTGTTAGTTGATGTTTGCTGTGAATCGCAAACAAACTTGATCTTATATGCATTTCGCTTTGCAAAACTGCAACGCTGGCGTTAAATGAGAACGACACGGAAGTCTATGAAGCTATGATAGACTATATTGTTGTTCCAAGGCTCCGGATATCGTGGTGCATATCAAGTGTAATTTGTAATGGAAGAAAG